AGTGAGTGAGGCAGTGAGTGAGGCAGTGAGTGAGGCAGTGAGTGAGGCAGTGAGTGAGGCAGTGAGTGAGGCAGTGAGTGAGGCAGTGAGTGAGGCAGTGAGTGAGTGAGTGAGTGAGTGAGCGAGTGACGAGTGCGAGCGCGAGTGAGAGTGGGAGAGTGGGTGTGAGTGCGAGTGTGAGTGGGAGAGTGAGTGTGAGTGCGAGTGTGAGTGGAGAGTGGGAGAGTGAGAGAGTGAGCATCTGAGAGCACGAAGTATTACGCCTGCCACGAAATTTGCACTTCGAGGTTCACCATGCGCTGTGCCTGCCACGAAATCTGCACTTCGAGGTTCACAAAGCGCTGTGCCTGCCACGAAATCTGCACTTTGAGGTTCACCAAGCGCTGTGCGTGTCACGAAATCTGCACATCGAGGGTCACCAAGCACCCGCCACGAAATCTGCACTTCGAGGTTCACCAAGCGCTGTGCCTGCCAGGAAATCTGCACTTCGAGGCTCACCAAGCGCTGCACCTGCCACGAAAACTGCTTTTCGAAGTAATACAGCTCCGATCCCTTGCACCTGTCACGAAAAGTGACCGCCATGAACGAAAACGCGCGCGGCACCACAACGAGAGCGCAGTCGCGACAAGCACACTCCAGCCACCCAGATTCTGCGAGCCTGCGCAGTCGAAATGCACATTGACGATGCCGAGAGGCATGAATGTGCTGTAAATAGCAGCGAGTTAGCCGTTCACGCCCGCGCGCTTCAGCGATCTAAGCATCAGCTTCCTTTCCCTTACCGTAAGAACCCCTCAGTGTGCCCACACTGTTTGGGGAAATATATACGGTTGCTGTACTGACCGATCCTACAAGTGTCTGCACATCTTGGTCCAAGACCTCCCATTCTGTCCAAAGGATGCTTGAAGTCAATCTTTGGACAGTTGATGAACATGCAATTCACTTTGACCTCGGAAAGACGGGCTTGAGAAAAAGTCCACGCGTGCACCGCAAGAATCTGCCTGGATGCGCTTCGATATATACTGCACCATGGCAGGGCTGAACTCTCCACGCACCTGGCTAGATAGAAGCTGCACAGAGTTGTGCAACTGTATAAAGGAGCTCCTAGGAACAAAGGGCATCGCTACTAGGAGCAAGGACGCTACT